CACCCACCTCGTCTCAGTCGTTGTTTGGTTTGGTGGATCCGCACTGAACTCGTACCAGAATGTGATAGCGAGCTTTACGTCCGTTCCCAGAATTCCATTTTTGTAGAAGGAGTTGGGAGGAGCGTATTGTGACTATTAACTAAGTTTCATTGACAAAGTAGACAAAATAAGACCACATATATATGGTGATATTCAAGCTCATGCGTTTCTCCCTTTGGACGATCGCCGGGGGAGGGGGACTACTAGTCACATTCCAGTGATCCGTTCTAATGAACAGATCGCATTTCGGGACTCGAGCGATCAACAGCTCGTTCACATAGTCTCAATTGTTCTGATTGATTGTTTGATTTCTGCCCGATAACTAAATTATTACACCCAGTCTTCCACGGTCATCGTTGGTTTGTTGATCCACTATGATGAATCTAACCGTGTTCAGCTGTTCCTGTAACTTTCGTCCGTCCGCTACCACAATCGATCAATGCATGTTCGATTGACACCGTGTGTGTGCGTGAAAAGAACATCCGACCATCAGAGGTTTCGATTGTTCCTNCCAGACGAAAATGTCATGACCCGACAAATTTTCATCAATGGATGACGTACTGAGCCCGTGTAGCATTTACTCAATTTTTACGGTTGTTATCCTGAGCGGGTAGGTTGACAACGTGGGGGGAAAATAGAAAACACCTAAAAGGGGGGATAAAAATGGCTGATATCCCTTGTTGTTGTTTTTCTTTGAGGCTGAGGTCTGAATCCTTCTGCCACCAACCAGTTCCTTCGTTCTGTTGAGGAATATATCTGCAAACAGAAGGATTAGTTACCCGTATGTCATCAACATCATGATTTTACAGTGAAATACAGTAAGGCGAATTTCACTGATCGCTTCTAACCTCATAAGGCATACCAGGTATGTAAGAATGTGTAACATAGATAGGGATTGGGCCTACTTTGAAGGACTTGGAAAGAAAGTGAACCTCTATGGTCAGCACACACGCATAGGNGGAAGTCACATCCAGATCGCCTCAGCTGTCAGTTTGCTACCATGACCTGTATCTTCAACTCTACCTAATCGCTCTGTGCATTTCTACATGCCTCGTCTCCGCATCATCTGTTGACCCCCACCTAGTTTCCTCCAGCCCAGGACCTCTACAATGAACGAAACGTAGTGCGGTAGCTGGGTGTACGCCACATGTGCCCTATCCAGTGAATCTCACTAATCTGAATTCGCAGAACTAGCCAGTGTATCCCTGACTATCTAACTGTGTTACTTATTATTATTTCAACACGTAACCAATTACAGAGAACTGGCCACAACATATGAACAAAAAAATCTGAAGAATATGTTCAAAGTTTGTGTGGGCATGTTACTTTCCGGTTGCCCTGGCCAAAGAAGGGGAATAACCTCGGGGTCCCAACCCGAAGCCTTTGGTTAGGAAGCCAAACCTGCATGACAACAGGACGGAGCTCAGAGTTCGCAGTTCATTGGATCATACGCCCTTTGGACGGGGTCAAACGTCCAAGGTGCCCAATCGAGCCGGTGACCACTGCCGCAACTAGGAAATTGTGCGTGTGGTTCGTACATCTCTTCTTGGCTGGTTTGGAATCAGGGTTTTTGGTCAACTCCCCTAGGTGAACTGCCAGTGGTTCACCAACCGGATTATAGCCCCAGATGTCGGCTTTTTCGTCCTGTCACTTTGGTGGGAAAACACCTTCGCCACGAAAAGTCAGTGAGTAGAGCTTCCTCAACAGAGGCAATTTGAGACGCTTGGACATATAGGAGCATTTCGTGGGGTGTAAGGGAATGGTGACCAGTCACCCAACCCGACCATACTAAGGCCTTCAGAGGCTGTGTATGCACGCTAGTTCACGCATTCTGATCTGATAAGAAATGGCAGCATGATCGCCACTGCTGTCGCTTTGTTACCACAACCTTCAGCGTCACCCGTATATCATTTCTTAGCAGAGCTGTCTAGTTAAAGTGGTTTGTGTGTGTGTATGTATGTGCACTCAGAGTGGCTCGATTGTTCTCCCTCACTTAAGCTAGCCCACTGCGTAGTCGCCGTACACACACACACACAATCCGATCGCATTCTTTGCCCCCAATGCTGTTCTTAAATGTTCGTGATGTGTTGCTTCTCTGTTTCTGGCTATGACATAATTACGATGAGTTCATGCGCGGGATGATACACGGATTTTCAACGTCCAGAGCGGTTCATAAAGTTAACTGAACTACCCACTCTGAACCGATACAAACCAGGAAGAAACAGTTCAATCGCTTAGGGACTGCACTAACCGCTGGTCACGCTCAT